ATCACAGAGGAGTGAACCACAGGTTCAGATCAAGCTCAGCATATCAGCACTTGATCAGAGTAGTAGGGATCAGGTTGGGTAAATCAAAGACTGATCAGTTTCTTATCAAATTCTGCCTGATCAGTTAACAGTGACCAGCGCCATATCAAGTTCTGATCAAACCTCAGGCTCGTCTGACAATTTCCACTCGGGTTATTCTTCGTGCATGATTAATTTTTGGATGCTGCCAGGAATATGTTTTAGAAAAGATTTTTTGAATTCTGAATATACTGGATTCATACAAAATACACTTTATTCTGATGTATACGCTATTAAAAAAAACTGCGAAAAGTACGTACCTTTAAGTTGACTGTTTCATGGTTCAAAAAAGTAATGAAATAAAGAGAATGCTACAGGTTCTTAAGTCTGTAATGTCCTAGGTGAAGATGCATTGAATCTTGAAGTTGGAAGGTATGAAGACAGAAATCGATGAGTTGAAAATCAAAAGTTTAATGAAAACAGAAAAAAACATGAAATAACAGAAAAATTCTACTATTCAAGAAAAAAACCGTCCTTCATGTACTTGAGAGCTCCAGGTCTATCACAGAAGCATTCTCTTTATTTCATTGTTTTTTTTCTAAGACAAAAAGTCAAATTAAATGTACGTGCGTATCGTTTTTTTACAAAACAAGGATAGCTTTTGTTTTGGGGATTATTCCGCTCTTTTTTTAATGTTACGCAAATTAAAAGTAGAATCATCTCAAGTTAAACAAATTATGATTTTTTATTTTCAGGGTGACACCAATAATTTTCTGTCGCCGAGTTGAAAATTTAAAATTCCAATTTCGAGGTACCTTGCGAACTCAGTGCGACTGTCTCACGTACGCATTCGTCCCTGTCGCTCTCGAAGGAACAAACGCAACACGCACAAACCTTTGCGTGAGACAGAGATGGGTTGCCTTGTACGACAAAGCTACGCGCTCCAACAATCTAGTACCAATTTCTAGAGAGCTAATCAACTTATAGAGATCATTGAAAGAGCATATAATTTGTTATCGAATGCTGAATGATGCGATGTTAGAATATCTCGATAACTTTTAAATAGTGTTTGAGATATTCGTTGCCAAAGCTACGTTGCTGTGTGGATATCAGTCAGGACACCCATAACTCCCCAGCTGTATAATTCACACAACTCTACACGGGTCTGTTAACTCCCTTACGCCATTTCAGTGTCCACCCCAAAACTTCCGCACCAATAACTTTTTGGCCGCTTATTTTTTTTGTATAGAGAAATGCTTAAATTCGTCCTTTTTCCGACGTATGTTAGACTTTGTCAGGAATTTAAGTAATATATAAAAAACCAAACTTCTGTACCATAGTATTGGCGTAATTTTTTTTTTTATAGAAGAGCATGAGATCGCAGAACTTGATAAGAAATTGATCAGTTTTCGATTTACTCACCTTGAGCTCGGTTAATATGTGATCGTTCTGATCAAGTTCGGATTACGTGGGCCTGAACTTCAACTGAGGTCAGTCTACCTGCAATGATTCAAATCACATTCTGATAATATCAACCTGACCTCAAATTGAGCGGTTCGCCTGTAATTACTCTGATCAAGTTCGGATCAGGGAGATCTGAACTTAAACTGAGATCCATCCTGCGTCTGCGACTATTCGGATTAGATTGTGCTCAGGTTCACTTGACCTGAAGTTGTGCTGTCCCAGCAATTATTCTGATCAAGTTTGGATCAGGTGGGCTTGAACTAGATCATTAACTTATCTTTATTATTTTCTTTTGTATGAAAGAATAAATACAAACATGAAGTTTACCCAAATATCTCAAAACGCGTAAGACTAATTCCTCATTGGTCGCAACTCGAACCGCCAAATTCAAATTCGGCGCACGGAGTACGTTGTACGTCTCGTTCTGATGAAAAGTACAATAGATGAAATTTTAATTGCGTAAATTTTCGCTTCTCAAACTGAACGATGATTCCCAATATATACATCGTATAAACAAAACAAAGTTCACTCAATAATAATAACGCGATAGTCTAGTGATTAGGGCATCGGATTAGTACTCGTGATGTCCCCCGTTCAATCCCTACTATCGGCAAAAATAATTAGGTTTTTGATTGAGGTAATATAATGTAAAGAAAATAATTAATTTGTTATTTTGAATTCATTATCATGAATAAATATGTTCAATTTCAGTTATCAAGTACTAATCAAATCAAATTGACGTGATCAAATCCGGATCTAGTCAAGGCGTTACATGCTTGATCAAGCCCTGATCAAGTTGTCGGATCAGTACCTGATCCAACATCAAGTCTGACTTGATTCGGACCTGAGCTAAATTTCCACTCAGGAACTTTATGCATAGAACGAGGAGCACCTCAATAATATACAAAAACTTGACTTACTCAACTGCTCACTAGCGTTAAAGAGGTTGTCGCGATTTATAACTTTATCAAAGGAAGGAATGTTATCAAATGAAAAGAACTCTCATTAGAAAAATACGATGCATTTCTATCGCCATCACATAAAAACAGATTGAACCGAATTTTCACCATCACGATTCAAGAATCGATTCGTAAAAAAAAAGATTCTTCAACAGAATTTGAAGCAACAGGCGACTGGGAGGAATAACGTGGGTTGACACATGGACATCGAAATTCTCAGTCTATCCACAAGTACGATCGATCGGTAAATGATTAGTTATTACCTGTGAAATAAGACGGTATTGGAAATGGGCTGTACCGGATGATTCATTTAGGAGATATTGCCATTTTTCAGTTTTTTTCGAAGAAATCCTTGTTGGAATAGATTCAATTCGGAAGTTGACTACCAATTGCATTGGTAGAAATGAAAAATGAGAGATTATGTATCAAGTATATGAATTATTAAAAAAAAACTAACGTATAAAGTAATGGTTAAATGTCCCCTGCCAAATAGAGTCGGACAACTGCTTGTTTTCTAGTTGAAATATCGGTTTCATTTGACTACTACTTTTAATAGAAATTCAACAAAATTGGTGTTCAACGTTTTCTCTAGAATTTCCGGCGAGAAAGGAAATTAACCAGGAAATAACCCTGAAAAGTTCCATCAGACTCACATATTGCGTAATTCTCCCCTTCCTCCCTTTTTTTTAATGACCGTCCTTAATGTAACTTAACTTTACCAGCAGCTCCATTCTCTCATATTTTTTTGAACCCCTCTGTTTGTCTGATTATCATCTGATTATTTAAAACCTATTTGGAAGATTTAAATGCTAAATCTAGAAATGTTTATTGAACATCGTAAAAGAAGATAATGAAAACAATCATAAAGGAAGAATTCTTCAGCTTTGTTGAGAAATTTATGCGCTTCCAATTTCAACTGAATATTTAATTTTCCTCTAGGGTCGATGCCCGAAACGCATCGTTGATCTTGAGGGCCTGGACATAACTTAGTCACGACTCGGTGAATGCCACCATCTTACGTATATGAACTCAAGAATTACGTTGTATAGAAGGTACTCCGACGTAATTTAATCTATACGTATACAACCGTCACAATTATGAAAAACTCACGGCTGAACCGATCATTTAAGCCTGTAGTCGTTCGCATATATTTCACTTCATTCTTAAACGGTCGCGACCCAGTCGAAGGCTGTGACGAAACACGCTTATAGAGTTTGTGGATGGAGTGACCTCGAGAGTACCGTCACACTGTCTACACGTCCTTGTTAATGAAACCGATAATTTATCTCTGTTTTCAGTTTAGGTATTCGACTATTGCGAAGTTCGATTCTTTGGTTGTTTGCAATTACCTTACATTCATTTTGAAACACGATGGAAATGCGAAGGGGAATATTTAGAATTTGTTTCATAAATATCTAATAAACTGAGCAAACGTATAATAATTCTGTGAGCTATCACAAAATTCAATTATTTAAGTAATTTTACTTTTTTTTTACTTATGGTAATCTTGGTGAAATAAAAATTTTGAGGTGAACATGAAAATTTTTCCCAATCAGAACTTGAAACTCGTTCATTCTTTTGGTATTTTAGCATTGCATTGGTTTTTTCTTTTGATCGATTCCAAAATTTCTTCAACTTCCCATTCTTCATTATTCGTCAATATCTCTAAAAGGACAGAATTTTTTTTGCAGTTTCTTCATATTTTCATTGAAATTCATTTTTATTATGAACAATACTCATGAAGCAAATGAATGATATTTATAAATAACGTTTCTAAATATTTTGTTAGAAAAGCAATTGTACAACCCAACTTCGGATAACTACTTGGCAATTCGGTTAGCTTCAGTCCAAGCTAACTGATACCGAAACAAGTCTGGTTCATGGAACTCAATTCTACCGTTACTGGTCAATTAAAATGCCCCGAGTTACCGTAGAATACTGACTCCGTTGAGTAAAACGGCAAAAGCAGCTACCTAACTACATGTCCGGTGAACGTCCGCATTAAAGGTCATTGACCTCATCCGAGATGATATGAGCATATCAATCAAACCTTGATCTTTTTCTTATATTCCGGCTCTTTTGCCCCCCTTTTTTGGCTCATTGGTCCTATCCCACCCTATGCATGCGACTATCTGTCGATCCTACACTGTACCATATTCAGTCTCAAAACATAGGAGTAAGGTGGGAAACCACACAAAAATTTCGATTCAACAGCAATCGAACTTAGGGAACCTTCAGAACACTGCGCTCGTATCTAACCACTGAGCTACTGACGTCGGTTTCAAAGCTTGATTGTACTGAAGGGTCTTCGTGATTTTCCTTTATAATTATTTTCAACTCCCCGGTAAATGAATAGCAAAGTAGAAGCAAGAGTAATTCTAATAGTTTTGACCATGTATTGATCTGGGCCGCGGTGTTTTAGAGAGATTTTTCCAAATATGTTGATTGTTAACTATCAGGTTGTTCATATCATCATACCAAATAGTTCATGACTTATATTATCCTAAAATTTATATTTGACCTCCAATTAATCTCTATGTTTATGTATTTATTTTACAGCAATTGTTTAGGAGTCAACCACAGGCTGCAACACCTCAACAACTTCAGATACTTCAGCAACAGCAGCAGCAACAATATTTGGCAGCATCGCAAGCCTCACAAACCCAACAACAACAGCAACAGCAGAATTTTCCAGCAGCTCCTTACACTGTTATCAGTGGTCAGGAGCCTTATGTTGGTGCACTCATCGCTGGTGCTCCACCAGTTGTGCCCCAGTATTATGGAGTTGGTCCATGGGTTTATCCAGCTGGACTGTTGCCGCAAGCACCACCACAGGCAGCAGCGCCACCACCTAGAAGACCACTCACACCGTCTTCTGTAGCAGCTGCTGCTGCTGCTCAAGACAGTGCTAATAACCTTGCACAAACGGTAAATTCTTTTTACCGTATATTTTTTTTATCAATTAATTACATTATTATAAGTATAGCATTTAATGAAATAATGATTTGTATAGTATAATTATTAGTTACGGCAAAATAATCTGATGCAATTTGCGGAAAAGTTTGAGCAGATGAGCATAATGAATTCAAATACTGCATTGTGATTGGCTGGAACCCAATTGCGAAACACAACGAGTGAAATCTGTAATTTCATGATTTTTTTCTCTTAAACTCTCTGAAGTGTCCCGGAAATTCAAGAATATTCTTATCTGAATTTTCTAATCTTCTATGCACTTTCAAGAAAAAGGGAAATGGAAATTTACAGTTTTGCTTGACGTTCTTTACTAACCTTCATCGAATCAACATCGAAAAAAAAATCCTGAAATTTTCATAGAGTGAAAAATGCAGTGCGATAAAAATTCCAAGACACAGCAAATTCCGACAAAAATTTTGAACAGTTTCTCTCTAACATATAACGATGACATTTTTATAAGTAAACGGCTGGTGGGAAGTTTGTCAAAAGTATAATCACCCGAGTCAAAAAACAACAGAATGCACGAGTTTGGTATAGTATTTTATGTCACTGGACCCAGATCCCGCGATTCTACCGAGTAAAAGGAATCTAATTTTAGTTTTCCAATCCCTTAAAATTCATTCTATCTCATTGAATCCACTGTATTTTCAAAAACTTTCAACCTTCAAGGAAATTATAATAAGGAATAAATAATGCTGTTGGGGAGAAAGTGCTATATTCATCTTTTGATGTGAAATTTCCTAAGAATTCCCTGAATCTGCCTGTTCTCCTTTCATGCACTCTGTCCTCACTGTCTTGAGCGATTGTTTACTGCAGGTACAAGGACAGTATCAAGTAATTCCAGCCTATTACGATCAAAATGGATCGATCGTCATGGGTGGAGTGCGTGGATTAGGGTCAGCAGCAACTCCGATGAGGCTTGTCAGTCCAGCCCCTGTTTTAGTAAATCGAGCACCGTCGCAACCACCTCCAGGACCACCAGCACCACCTCCACCAAGCTTATACTCTCAGCCGACCCCAACATCACACAGTAGTGCTACGCCTGGCGAATGTTTAGGTAAAAAAATGCTAAATTGATTGCCACCAAGTCGTTTTCATATTCATGGTCTAATTAATCATCACTGTCTTTAATAATGCCTTGAATGACTTTTGTGACTAATTCCACATTCTCATAATTACGGTTGATGAATTACACATTGAAATTTTTCATTTTCTACACTAAAAGGAACTATGTTATTATAAAAAGGAGAAAATTCAACTAAGTTTAGAGATTACTTAGGGCAATGGATAGATTGAATAGAAATGGTTTATAGACTTTTTTTGATTCTTTTGTCTTCATCGAATTGGTCGTTGTCAAGATGAACCATTAATTAATGATGATATAGATCAAATGCACAGACTTGGTTAATGCATTTACTTCATTGAGGTTGTTTACAATTGAATATTATAAGTATATGATCACACAAAATGTGATATTAACGAAATTGAGAAATGAAGATATTTTCCTTGATTTTCATCAAAATTGAAATTCACCAAAAATTAATTTCATCAAAATTGAAATGGATAAAAGGCACCAATCGTATGTGCGCTGGTGTACCCTCATATGGGGTAGAATTTTTTTAATATTTCCTTCTTAGCGCTGGTACTCTGAATTTCGCTTCAGCTGTGTAATTCGGCACCATTTTTCACATTGACTTTTATTTTTATTTGCATCTGTAGAGAGTTCTAGCTGGTTCATTATGAATTTGAATATTAATCCTATATGTAAGATCTCCTATGTCATGGAAAATTCTTTCATTTATTTCTGCTGATACTATTACGATGAGTTTGCTACATTGAAAGGCTTCGTTTGTTTGGTTATCAACCACAATATTTTTTAGCTATTTCGAGCTCTACAATGAAAATATCAGATTTGCTAAAAATCGTTATTTGATTAGCAAGACAATAATTCCTCCGAACTTTATCGGAATATTTTTTCGGTTCAAAAAGATAGTTTCTTCCAAGTTTTGTTACTAAAGTATCCTTAGCAAATGTCATTGAGTGGCTTTAAAAAAATTGGTTTAGCGGAAAGATGAAGATAATACAATTGGGAAAAATGGTGAATGGGCTATGGGCTTTTCGATGCAGGTTTGGCAGCTTGCAGTGCTGCAGCAGTGGTTGCACAAGCACAGGCAGTTGCCGTACAACAGGCACAACAACAGGGCTCAGGACTTGCTGCTGGTCTCGCCGCTCTCGGTTACGGTGGTTCACCACTGGGTGCCCTCGGCTCGCCAGCTCAACTTCAGAGTACAGGTATTACTCATTAACCGAATAACAAAAAACACTTCATTATGTAATTTTCTGACGGGTTCACAGCTTGGGGGGGGGGGGGGGGGGTCACTTGTACAACAGAGTTTATGTTTAATCTATTTTTCGGCGGCTTTTTATCCATGTTGTTGCTGCCTCTCTTCACTCTTCAATTTCTGGATACTGAGAGGTTTTGGGTTGAGAGGTGCATGGGGTTTTCATCAGAGAATCTATTATTTCAATGATTATTGGTTTGGTGGATCTAAACCAGGCATCGACGAAGTCGAAACACCGGCCATAAAACCATGTTAGATCTATTGTTCGAAATACAATATCCCAATTGTCTGAGGCCCAGCGTAGTGAGAGTGGGGGTAGCAGCTTGTACAAAGAGGGGCGCAGTTAGACAGAAACGCGCGCTCTCCCTCAAAATTTAAAAAATCTTACCGCCTAAAACTTCAAATAAATTTTCACCAATTAATTTTGGAAAATCCTTCGTTGCACTGGGGGTAATTTTTAAAACATTTCGCCAAAAATCGATTATTTCTTAGTCGTCTTAATATTGAGTAATTATTTTATTAAAAAGTGAAAAAAATTAGATGTCCCTTCTGTAAAATTCAATCAATGAATTATTAATTTAAAGTTTAACTTATAAGTATGAAATATCTTGGTCCAAGACACTTGAAAATACCATTCGAATCTGCCAAAAAGAATTTGAGAGATATTGATGAGAAATTCTTCAGGAATATGTTTTTAGTCAAACTTTTTTGGTTTGAGAGCACATATAAAAACAATTCAACGGAAAATATTATCGAACACGCCAGATAAGTCTATTGAAATTCTATTAGATTTCGATAAAAATTAATAAATTTGTGATTAAATTTTTCTAGAGGTTTTTTTCAATAGAAATATTCAACAGAAAGCACTGGATTTGAAACGAAATGGATTTTTCCTTGCAATGTAATCTACATATAAATTTTCCATTTCTTCCGATATATGAGCCAAAACAGATAACTTAAAACGATTTTACCATGAAAATTTTGCAAGGAAATTTCCCTCAAATGATTTGTAAGAATAAATTCTTTTGAGTTGATTTTTCTTATGGATCTATTTATTCTTTCAATATTCATATTAGAGTAAATTTCAAATAAAAGTCGGCCAAACACTAATGCAATTTCCATAGGAATTCCATAGAATTTCATTAAAATGAAAAACTAAAAATGTTTCTCAAACTCAAACTCTGAAAAGAGTTTTTCATTTGTGATCATTTTTCAATTATCTTTGCTTGATTACTCTCGACAGCTAATTATTTTTATTGTTTTCTGCAGTAATTATTCATTTTTGTGATTAACTGGAAATGGATGGATTTTCAACAATATAACAGTGGGATCGATACAATGAAATAAAGTCACCAGGACATGATGGAATTCAAATTTCTGGTTTCCGTGCTTTTTTAAGGTCAAAAATCTTTGCGACTCAAGTAAGATCGTCGCTTGCTGAACTTGAATTTAATTCCTGAAATGCGGAAAACGCGATTAAATTTTTTAAATACTGCTTAGGGAATGTTCAAACAATATTAACAAAAATTAAAAATTCTTACCATTGTTTTTCAATTCATTCGCTGCCGAAATAGTCAATTGGGAATTGATTTATTAAACGGAATTTTATGCGAAAGTTTATATAGAAAAAAATGAACAATTGATATTTTTTAACAATGCAAGCGTAAAGAAACAGTATATTTCCCACATAAGGAGTAAAAAAGACTTACCCACGTGCTTACCACCCTCGTCGTCGGCTCGGGCGGTAATTCTGCCCGTGGGCAAGCCTTTTTTGCTTTACCTTCCGTGGTGAGAACATCATTTTTTTCCCCGGCGTCAGGAGCATAGTCAGAATCCCCTCCCGCGCAGCGGGAGGGGAGAGTGTATTTTGCTCCCACAGGGGAGAAAAGTATTCATATTTTTCTTTCAAAAATTTAAATGTTTGCGCGTTGACTCACAAAATGGTACCCCCACTGTGATCCAAGCATTGGGTGTCGCCACTCCGACAATACAACACCTGCCGAATACAATAGTACCCCTTTTTTTGTGGACATTGACCTAATTGGGTTGGGGGCTCGGTGAGGTCTGAGAGCTCACTTAACCCACACCTGGACCTAAACCATACGTGTACCAAATTTTCTATTAAAGAAGACTTTTGATTTCTTATTGATTTTATTCTTTAACCACCCATAACCAAAATAGTTTTATATTTAACATGACGTAAAAAATTAACCTGTTATTCTATTATGTTGATTCATTTTAATTATTGCTCATTATTTCATGAAGCAATGTTCTGGGTGTAAATAATCATTGATAATTCATTCTCATTATTGCATGCTTGTACATTTAGTGATTTGTCCGTGTAACTATTCTAATGAATTAATGGTGATATTGTCATTTGTAACAAGGAGATTTATGTCTCAGGTTTGGGTCTTGGTGCATCGTCAACTGGCAGACGGGATTCATTTGATCGGAATACATCTGCCTTCAGTCCAAGTCTCGAATATAGTCGTGGAAAGTGGCCTCAAAGCTATGGCGCATTAGGTAGTTAATGTCAATCAACATTTTATTTTTTTTTTAATACCAATGTTCACTCCTAAGAGAGGCATGACTTATATTGCCCTTTTTTTTAACCGAGTTCCTATTGTTGTTCGATAATTCAAACAAAAAGTAGTGAAGCGGTAAAAACAAAAGTTATGTCAATATAAAACTGTTGTGCATTTTTTTGCATTTATTGGATACTCATCGGTTAAAAAAAAAGGCATTTTTTAGCTCTGAAAATTGGCTATAATAATTGTTCTTTGAGTTTTGCCTGAAAGTCCATAATCGCCTCCTTTACGTGCACTAAATTACCACTCGATTTGATTTGCGGTATTTCTAAAGAATTATCTTTCGAATAAAATGTCAAATGTTGAAATTCGTAACAGAAAAAAATATCGAAAATATTATTTTCTGCATCATCCGTTATGACCATACAGTGGAAATAATAATCGTCCCATAAATCATAAATAACACAAGCTAGCCGACCCCTAGCTTGTATTTTTTTCAAACATTAACAAATGAATTAATAATAATCTGCTCTTAACCTGGCTTTCATTATGGTTTGGTTAGTATTTATTATAAAATTTCAGCATGAACCCTTCCATTTCAGGAACTCCTCAAAAACGGACATTACTAAATGCCTAACAATTTATGTTAACTGTGTGATTAACCATCATTAATTTAATTTTGAAACGGAGTGATCAAATATTATATTGCTAATATGCCATGCTATATTTTAATCCTTAAACAGACATTCGCACAGAGAATTCCAGATGACAAGGAAGTGTGTGCCAAGAATGTTTTTTTTGTTTTTTTTTAAGCCATTATTGTCATATTTTAAAGTCATTATTGGCATAATCTCGTATTTAATGGTATTTCACTTCAGTGCTGATTTCAGCTGTCCCTAGGAGTTAATGTGATGTTCAAGTAATATTGTGTCGTTATTCCCTTGGTTTAGGAACTGTAACAGCCTCACCAAGTCCTCTCGGACTCTCCTTAACACCTCCACCGTCTATTGGTGGATCGTTGGGCGGTTTAGTAGGTGGTGCGAATCGCGTTTCAGCTGCACCTGGTGCGGAGGCGAAATTTAGAGCGAGTACAGTTCCAACTCTTACTGCCAATGGTGTCTTTGGATCAAGTAGTTCACTATTTCCGAATTTGGTTGGCAAATCCGGTAGGGGTGGTACTGCTGGAGTAGGGGACAAAGGAGCAGGTGGACGATCACGGCTTTTGGAAGATTTTAGGAATAACCGGTGAGTTATTAAATTTAGCTACCCTACAGTATGACCTAGTTACTGATCTTTTCAAGTAAAATAGAATTTTTTCACATGGATCAATAATAAAATTTATTCAAGTCAATCGATCTCTTTGGACCTTTCTAAATATCACCTTTTTTTAATTTTTTGTTTTTTTTTTCATGAAATTGATTTTCTTTGAGAATTTGAAACATAAAACGGCGGCTATGACAGAAATTCGATTTTTTGCTGTTTATTTTATTATTTATGTGTAAAGGTCTCAAATGCTGGTAATAGTACTTTTTCATGTTTTCTTTGTGAACATTCTCCGGCAAGCAAACATCTAAAATTGTTCTTGATGATTTACATCTTACTCAACGGTTCTAAAGGACGCGAACCTTTACCGAAAACTGAAATATTGGCGAAGAACTTGAATTCGTCGACTTCCATTGTTAGATGGTCTTAACGAAAAAGAGACACCAAATGTCAGAATAGTGAATTTTCAGTTTTGCATTGTTTTTTTGTTAAATTGACGCAAGCAGTAAAATAAATGTAATTACCAATAAAATTGATATATAATTGGAGATTTAATTATATATTTTTCAGTTTTCCGAGTCTTCAATTACGGGATTTGGCAAATCACATTGTGGAATTCAGTCAGGATCAGCATGGCTCTCGATTCATTCAACAAAAACTCGAACGTGCGACCGCAGCCGAGAAACAACTTGTATTCCAAGAGATTTTGGCATCTGCTTACTCCTTGATGACCGACGTTTTTGGGAATTACGTGATACAAAAATTCTTTGAATTTGGTACACCAGAACAAAAATCAACGCTTGCACAGAAGGTATGTGAACAGGGCGTATCAGTTCAAAATTTTAACAAAAAGTATTTGCGAGACGAGCGAAATGAGCGTTTTACTTCTGGTATAATACATTGTTTGTTGAAATTGACCGAAAATGAATCCTTTGTACCAAATACGAAATATACGCGAGCGTAAATGAGTCTCTAAAAAATAATAATAATTCTTGTGAAGGCGGAAATGTAAATTCAACCACTATCATTATTCTTATTATTAAATGATCCCACACATATTATACTCTTGACGATATTTTTTGACACAGTTTTATCTATAAAAGATATTTTGATAATTATTTTTAAAATCCTCTTGTTTGAAATATTTATCTCTAGTGCCAAATATTTGTTATTGGTCAAGGAGAGCAATGATTCATATTTGATACTTTCAAATTCGAACTGAACAATTTTTTTGTTATTTTTTATGACAGTTTACAAATTTCCTATGATGGAATGTACCTAACAACTTTTCCAATTTCTGATCTAATGTTTCGTGAAGAAAATATCAACTTTTTATGGATATTTCACTATCAGATGTTTCGTGGAAATCGGAAAAAATATTGTCCGGGCTTTTGGCATCGGCTTTTTTTTCATTCGTGTGATTGGTCCTCTTCTCACCAGTAAAAAAAACCCCGTGCCAACAGCCCGGAAATCTACTATTTCGGAATTATTTGGAGTTTTCAATAATCTTTTAATTTACCGAAAGAGTACAGAGCTACTTCAATAATGAGAATTTTCTAGTGTTCCTTGATAAGTATATTTTAGTATCAAATTTGGAGTATTACTAAGTTTTTTAATATTAGCCAAATAATTTATTCCTTAACCTTGGCTCACTCTATGATTCCCCTTTATGATCGCCCTCATGAGCAGCGCTAATACCTAACAACTTCACTTGAATAATCATTTCGGTGAAATAATTTGAAGATTTAAGTTTTTTTCGAACTTTGTTCCAATTTGTTCATGGATTTCCGCTGGGTTTATTGACACGTCTCCAACTGTAATTTTTTGATAGTTTAAAGAATGATCCCAATTAAGGTATTGTCCCAATTCTAACAGAAAAATTCGGTTGGAGTTGGAATTTCCAATTTGAAACAAAAATGATGAATCATTGCGTGTCATCTGAACGTACAAATAACTCTTGATGTCACCAAAGCCTACGGCAAACTGATTTTCAGAAAGGAAATGGAAGTAAATAGATTTTTTTTTTTACTCTTGTTATACTAATTCCAGGCAAATAAAAATTGATTTCAGGTACGAGGTCATGTACTACCCCTGGCACTTCAAATGTATGGTTGCCGTGTTATTCAGAAAGCTTTGGAGTCAATTGGACCAGAACAACAGCAAGAAATCGTTCGTGAACTAGATGGGCACGTATTAAAATGTGTCAAAGATCAGAATGGCAATCACGTAGTACAGAAATGCATCGAGTGCGTTGAGCCACGTGCACTGCAATTCGTTATCGGTGCGTTTGCTGGACAAGTTTATTCATTAAGTACACATCCATATGGTTGTCGTGTTATTCAACGCATTCTGGAGCACTGCACACCAGAACAAACACAGGGAATACTGCAGGAATTGCATTCAGCCACCGATCAACTCATTCAAGATCAATATGGGAATTATGTTATTCAACATGTGCTTGAACATGGAAAAATAGAGGATAAGGCACAGTTGATTAACAGTGTTAGGGGTAAAGTTTTGGCATTATCGCAACATAAATTTGCTAGTAATGTTGTGGAAAAGTGTGTTACCCACGCTACGAGACAAGAGCGGGCTGTCCTCATTGAAGAAGTTTGTGGTTTCAATGATAGGTAAGTCTTAGTTTTGAAACGCGCTACCACGTGGAATGCTCTAAACCCAGCCTCTTTTGTCTTTATATTTTAATACTTCATCATCTATTAAATCGACAATAAATAGATTAATGTTATCTTTCAATTCATCAACTAGTAAATTTCATTTTTTTTTTGGTCATTCATTATTGTTTCCTATAAGGCAGAATCATTTACAAAACTTATTATATAACTATTTCAGTGACAGTTGATTTATAAAAATAACTAAAATTTATTTATTTTTGAAATATGAGCCAATAAATACTCTCGAGAAAGATTCTTCTAGTGGTGAAAAGTTTGACCATAAAAATCCTCATCCATTTAAAAAACTCGAATAAGAATTATTTCTCTCTCAATTTTAGCGCATTAAATGTAATGATGAAGGATCAATATGCTAACTATGTGGTGCAGAAGATGATTGACGTAGCTGAGCCAGCCCAACGCAAAGTATTAATGCATAAAATTCGGCCACATCTCAACAGTTTACGTAAATACACCTATGGAAAGCATATAATTGTGAAGCTTGAGAAATTCTTCATGAAGACAGCATCAGCAATGGGTGTATCAACTCCAGCTGGAGCTAGCTCAGCCACTGGTGATCTGGGGCCCATTGGTCCCCCAGCTTCTGTTGCGGGTCCTGTACAGACAGCTACTCAGCAGCCAACACAGGTCTTATAAATTAAGCATTTCCCAAAAATGTCTCAACAAATTCATCGTAACACTCGAAATGTGAAATTCAAAAGTTTCAAATATTGAAGGACACATTCAGAGACACTTGTCACATATTTGCTAATCTTGTTATGATGGAAATACTCTTGTTTTATTAAAATTAGTTAAAAATGATTGAAACTCTGAATTGTGTGAATAAAATATTGACGTAAACGAATTTTTCATCATTACGAGTGTTGCGTTAATCTCGAAGGGATAGATACGAAGTAACTCCCAATAACAACGATTTTTCCTCATTGTAATTTGCATTATTAAAGATTACTCATTTCCAAGGCAAAACATTTTGGAAAATGATGAATTCAATTGACAAATTATATTTAATTAATTATTAATTTGGGAAATTTCGTTGTCGATCAAACCATGGGAATGATAATGATTGAACGTAGAAGTTATCCTTTACAAGAATAAGTTTTCTTTTCTCCCCATTTTTTTGCTTTTCTAAATTTGCAACGTAAATAATTCCACGAGGTTTACGAGACAATGAATCCTTATTTTAAAAAAGTTTAATTTTTCGGTCTCTGTTAATTTCGACAAAAAAAATTGAACGATATACAATTTGAGTTTCAAATTCTTCAAAACAACTACTTATTATCTCGTAATTATCTCGTAATAAATCTCAGACTCGGAAATATATTGATAGAGACGTTCCAAGTATAGTGATTAAAAAATTCGACATTCGAACGAAAGGGAATAAAACAACAGTTCAATGAAATTTAGAAACAACCCTGAAACAAAGTGAGGAACTATATCGCACTCCAATCCTCCCCCTCCTAATTTTCATCTTCATCATTTTCTTATTACCGAAAATTTTGTAAATTGTGATATAAATATTGAATAATGAACTGTGTATAGATACAACAAATCCATCTCCCCATTTTTTCATTAATTAAATAAAAAAAATTCATCCCCTCCTCCTTTCATTCATTTCAACAGACTCTGTGAATATTATGTATTATAATAATTATGAATTGATTAAATCTAAACAAAATGGAAGAAATGAAACAAAAAAAGATAAGAGAAAAAACATTCAAAGAATAAGAAAAATTATCATTGAAATTTTTTTTCCATTGTTTCGATTTTTCCTTTGTTCTTTATATAAACTTTGATAGTTCAGAAATATTCTCTCATCCACATTTGATCGATGCCTCAGACCTTCTCCTCTCCCCCAAACCCCCCGTCCATCCGAAAGCCCCTTCATACCAGTTTTTTCTTCAAAATCGATGTAAGATAGTTGCCATTTTTTCACAATGACACGCACTCTTAATTGACGGAAACAAAAACGTAAAAGTTTAGAATCGCGCGATATAAATACTTCGAATTTAGTTTAAACCTCAATTGTAAATTATATATATATAAATATATACATACATCTGTAAAAAAAAAGTGAAAACATTGAAAAATCCATGATTTTTAGGAGAATTTTATTTTCGCACAAAATTGTTCACCCTCCCACTCTTTTGCCAATTTAACCCTACTCTTGTGCAGTAGATGCGATGCATTTCAGGGGGTCTTTATATTATTTAAATAATGAAGAGGACATAATTGAAATGATTGAATTAGAAGGGATGTGGTGAAGGGTAATGGGTTGATTCTTTGGGTTTCTTTTAAACGTGGGTTTATCCTATTAATGAATGATTTTTAGAAAGAGATTTGAGGATAGCTATTTGTAGAGGGAACAAACAGTATAAAGTAAATTTTTTGTTATCTTTTCCATTAGAATTGAATGTTCAAAGAATAATCGCTGATTTAGTCAAGATCTCTTCAGTTTGACTAAAGATTTGATTCTATGTATATAGTACCACTAAGTGGGCTTAGGGAGTAATTTTGAAAAACATTATCTTTGAAAAAATTTTCTCTTAAAAAAAAATTTTTTAGATAAGCCCACTAGCACCCGAGACATTCATTCATTACGTTTTACCACTTCTTTGTAAAAATCTTCGCAGTGATCTTTATTGTCTCAATAAAATCGGAACTCTTTCGTTCTTTCTTCATACAAGTCCTAAAATATCAATTTACGGTTAATAATATTTTCATTGCACTTAAACGGAAATAATCGCGAACGTTGCAATGTGAGCCGACTGTAATTCAGAAATGATCAAAATTGGAATTTCATCGTAGGAAAAAACTTTCTCATGCAGCAATTGCATCATCACTTGTACAATCATACTGTTCCTTTGATCTGAATTTTATGTAAGAATTAAAAATTAGCAACAACACTCTAAATTAGATAAAAGGAATTAGGATCTAAAAATTGAACATTGATATATAGAAACAATCCAAAAATTCAGCAAAATGAAAAAGACAAAACTGAATCTATGAGTTGAAAGTTTTTTGTAAAATATTGTACAGATAAATAATGATCATTCAAATGAAGAAAAATAAAAAAATTTGTTTGTCAGGATTACTTCAATTTTTTGCGGAAGCAGAATTGAAACATCAACGAAACAATGGAAAAAGGTGATATAAAGAGTTGGTTTCGCACGTCTATTTCAATCAATAATTATTAATTTTGAGAGAAAATCTCTAAATAAATTTTTTTTTGGATTCTGAATAGTAAATTAAACTTTGATTTAAACTTGAATTAAACTTTAACTTAAATTAATCAATGAAGATATTCTAATGACATCAAAATAAAAAGTAATGAATAATTATTGAAATCATTTAGTTAGAATTAGTAGTAAGGAAGAATGACAGGAGACAGTCGTTTTGGTATTGATCCGTTTTTAACATAATTGCATAAAACAATCAGAAATGTTGAAATTCTTCCATTACGTTTTACTATTAAAAAAAATCACTGCGAAGATTGCCATTAAAATGAAAATCGAAATGAGTGCAAAAATCTAAACATTCCAACAAACTTCTTTACCAATACATAGCAAAACAAAATAAGAACCAGAAAAGTGAACGTTGTAATGAACGAAAGTAAAAATTATGAAACTAATAAATCCTAATAAATGGAAAAAATATGAGAATAGAAACGCAATTGTAACAGTTTCTTTATCTTTGTAAAGAGTCAGGCGGTTATCACATGTAAATTATTGCCAATTAACGAATCTTTCGAAATTACCTAAAATAATCGAAGAAAGCTAACAACGTAATGAGAGATATAGTATTTGAATTCTCAGCAAAGTTTGTGACAAAATAATGAAGGAACGGAATGAGAAAAATGAGTGGGAAAAATAGGATTGAATATCTCATGTCATTTATATATAAATAAAAAATTATCCACTCGCAGATTTATAATTAATTATTTGTGCTATTAATTATCTTCTAGTTTTCATCAATTAATCTATGGATTTTTAATACCAATTGGTAAATAGTTCGAGTAACGATTTTCTTTTCTTTCATTTGTCTTATAAATGCTTTGCCTTTTCTATTTTTCTGTTTCATTCTTTTTTTCGCGTGAAAATCTTTATTTAATCTTTGTAAACAGTAAGATATCTTATATATGCATTATAAATAATTACCCTGGCTATATCTCCCGCATTAAATAGGAGAATAGGCATGGGAAAACTTCGCATGTAACAATTTATAAATATCGTGTAGAATCTTAAAAAAAAAAAATGATTTCTCTTGTCTCTCGCCCCGAAAATAATCTCACGAACTTTTTCCATCTAGTGTCCATCATTTTTATGTAGCTTTACATCTACAAATATCTAACCGATCTGACGTTTATCTAGTTAACGAATATATTTAAAAAATAAAGAGACAATTTTACCTTTAGGTAATGAGTGAATTCCACTGTAACTCAATTGTAAACGATGACACATTTCGAAATCTTTTTCAGTATAAATAATGCAAATTTTTTCTATAGAAAGAGGAAGACTTAGTTGTCACTGTTTTCCGGCATGATACTACAATTTATCAGGAATAGAGAAAAAAACAGAAAGTGAGAGAAATCTCAGACATCTAGAAGAATTCTTCACTTGATTTTTGTTTATAAAAATTTGTAAAAAATTGTTTATTTGTATTTTACTGCCCTTTCGGTTAACTACTTTGCTTGATCAGAGGCTTGTTTCAGTCATTCTCTGTGCTCCCTCTAACCATTACATGGAAAATATTGGACACATAGAACGAAATTGAAAGAGAAAATAGGATTTTTGACTAGTGAAATGGTGAAAACAGGACAGAATCATCAATAGGTACATATTTTATAGATATTTAAAAAAAAAGAATGTCCCTTTGATTTGCAGCTAAATTTTCTATGGAAAAAGTGTCATATGGGAGTGATAAATAGACTGTTTCATGAACATCTTGATGAATAATTAATCGGGAGAAAAATGGTGAAAGAATTTCGTGTGGATACTGATTTTTCAATTGAAAAGAAAAGCGTTTCAAGCGTTTTTCTCGCAAGTTCACAGCTTCCGGTATATTCGAAGTATAACTAGAAATCTCGTATTTTCTGTCCTTCATCATTTCACTCTTGGTTTAAAGTGAATAAAAGGTTTTTATATTCTCTGGTGTATGAATATATCTGTATCTGAAAAAGTGGAAAATCGTGGTGTTCTCTTTCTTATTTTCCCTCAGCTATCACATATATCCATATATCATACTTGAATATTCACGATCTAATAGAATCCAATAAAAATCATAAAAAACACTTAAACGCATGAAACTATAATAAATACTTGAAAATATCCATCGATTATTGATGGCGATTAATATTATTGTAATAAGTAATATTTAAATATTGTAACAATTGTATATGATTTTATTACTAACTAATACACGCTAATTGTATTATATATATATGGAATGAAAAAAAATGAAAAAAATTGTGTGACAAAAAAGATCTGCGTACCTCCCACTTTGTAGTTATACCTTAAAAAAACAAATTGGAAACAAATTTCCATAAAAAAAAATGGTAACTAAAAAGTAATGTGAATCCATGTCAACCCCCATTTCTCCCATTTGTTCTAGTTGCCATGGCGCTGGCAATTGATGACGAGTTAATTAGCCCTTTTATGTTGACGTTTGAAAACTTGACAATGTCATTGTAAAAGCTAATCTCGAATCGTGGAGATGAATTTTCATTGGGAACTGGTGCGCCCCTGATGTTTAAGACTGATGTATAGTAGCGCGCTATTCTCACATTTACCCCCATCAATCCATTTTATTCATTTTCCATAGTAAAAAGACAAATGATTTATTTTATCTATGAAAAAATCAATTTTGAGTTCATTTTATAATAAGAGGGGAGATGCATCATAGATACCAGAAGTGAATAGACAAATTTGTATAATGTCAGTGTGTGTACATACCATTATTGATTTTTGGCTTTGGAAATGAAAGCATTTATGTGTAGCGAAGGGAAATTATAGTTTATGGTCTGAGAGAGTTGCAGAATTAGAACTGTAACAACTCAGTAATATTACAATCATCTCACTTGCAATTGATTCAATGGGCTATATTTAATTAAAGAAAATTTTAATTGGACTAATGTACGTTGAGATAGACATAGTTCAGAGATAAATTATTCAGCTCTGTTTTGTTTTATCCATTCGCTATATGAGATACAGATCAAATTATATGTCCAAATCCTTTCCAATAAATTTATTCATAATCAATTAGTTCCTACACTTCGCTTTGAATTTACATTCACTCCAGCCAACAATGCATTTTGCATTTGGAAAGACAAGCAATTAAGAACGTGGCGGAAATTTCTCACTATTTCTTAACTTAATGCTATAGAGAAATTAATCTTTTAATTTACAGAATTTAATTCATTAAACATAATTTTGTTCCTTGAAATTCTCTTGCGAACCAATTGACAAAAATTGGTACGCTTTTTATGGTCAATACTTCCAGTAATAACAGCAACTCTCTGCATACGTTTTCTTCAAACATCTCTAGCCACAGGCGTATTTCCAGGAAAATTCCTTCTTTTTTCCTGCAGAATTACATATTCATTTATTCGTCCATGAACTATCACTATAA